ACAAAGCAGTGGCAAGTGGACCACGGGCACATCAGACAAAGCAGTGGCAAGTGGACCACGGGCACATCAGACAAAGCAGTGGCAAGTGGACCACGCACGGTGCACTTGGTGGTGATTGAGCACCTGTTCCACGTAAAGCTATCACTGGCTGTGAAAAAAGGAAGAGAACAAAGGATCTGCATTCTTGGGTGATGCCTTGGGTAGGGGGCTTCTTGTCTGATGAGAAGATAGGATAGACACAAGTCATATACGCATAGCCCTGGAGCTGCGTGAAGGGAGGAAACTGAAGGGCTAATGAATGGTAATCCAACTGATGAGACACAATCCACAGAGAGAAGATTGGAAGGTCTCCCACCAGAGAGAAATGGTAAAGCAAAGGGAGAAGACCGAGACCTTGCCCACCGGGAGAGTTTTCACAGCTGGGTTAGAAACACAACTGTAGTTTAAAGTGTCTTCAAAGCCAAGTTGGGACCCAGCATTAACACTATTAGATGCAGACATGCCTTCCCCTTCTGCCATAGAGAAATTTCCAGAACAGCTTGCAAAAGATGAACTTAGATATTTTTCAGCACATTCCATATAAGAGTAGACCCACCATGTCCAAGAACCATATCATGAATTTATTATTTAAATAACATCTCCCTCTTTCTCACATGGATTTTACATCCCACCTGTACTTCACACAATCATGGAACAAGTGGTTCCCAACTCTTCCCATGAATTAGTATCAAACCCACTAGAATCTTACGCAAGGTTTGTGCTTACCCACCCCACCCCCAACACATGCATAGACTCACAGAGTGAATATTCCATTCAGAACGCAAAGTGCAGACAAAGTGTCACAGGCAAATGTGGCCACAATGGATCCAAATTACTAAATTAATTTTTTTTTTTGCAAAGCCTATTTATTTCTAGTGAAATTAGAAAGCTTACGTGTTTGTAGAGATGGTTTAGTATTTAATTCTCAGACTCTTCCTCTTAAAGCCAGTTTGCTTCCTTTTCAAACCTACATGGTGACTCTTAAGGTCATACAAAATGCAATTACAGCTCTTCAGATAAGGAAGCTAGGAGAAAGAGGCAAGATAGCTACATTCCCAAGGTAGGACCTTAAATTGTCCCCTATTATACAGCAACCTATCTAGTCATGGAGCTGTCATTCTGTGTGTGTGTGTGTGTGTGTGTGTGTGTGTGTGTGTGTGTGTGTGTGTGTGTTTGGTTTTTCAAGACAAGATTTCTTTGTGTAGCCCTTGCTGTCCTGGAAATCTCTCTGTAGACCAGGCTGGCCTTGAACTAAGAGATTATTAGCCTGCCTCTGCCTCCTGACTACTGGGATTAAAGGTGTGTACTCCCACTGCCTGGCTGAAGCTGTCATTCTTAGGGGCTGGAACATGGCCCACTTTCCCTAGAGCCTTTGAATCTTTTTTTTATAGTTTTTCTTTTTTTTTTCTTAAGAGATGTTCTATTCATTTTACATGTCAACCTCAGATTCCGCTGTCCTCCCTCCTCCCCCACACAGCCTTGTCCCCCAACCCATTCCCACCTCCTCCCATGGGGAGTCAGCAGAGCCTGGTACATTCAGTTGAGGAAGATCCAAGCCCCTCCTCCCTGCACCAAGAGGCTTTGAATCTTGATGACACTGAAAATATCTGTTAAGATTTTTTTTTAAAAAAAAATAGAATGTACCTATGAATTTATAATGGAAGATCATGTACCACACAATTGCACACCAGAGTAGGAGTCTGTTCTTATCTTTAAGTAGTTTTCCTCTCATCACCAGACCAGAATGTGTCTTACTGTGGTTAGAGTAAATAAAGACTCAGGGTGACATTTTTTTTTCCAAACAGAAACAAAATGCCCAGTCATCCTAAAGCACACTAATAATGTGAAATAGAAAAATAACTGTAATTTAAAGACTCTTTTCCATTATTAAGTTGAAATTTTCCCCTGAATACTCATATCTCATTTGTGTATTTCTAGTTTGAAGAAACATAAACCATGTTCCAAATTTGCATTTTAAGAGGTACAAGATGTTTTAGGACATAGCATAATCCTATGTTCAGAAGTTTTAGGTCAACTGAATAATTTTTCATCATCTATCCATCTGTCTTAGGGTTTCTGTTGCTATGAAGAGACACCATGACCATGGCAACTCTTACAAAGAAAAACATTTCATTGTGGTAACTTGCTTGCATTTCAGAGGTTCAGTCCCTTATCATTGTGACAGGAAGCAAGGCAGCATGCAGGCAGACATGGTGCTGGAGAAGGAGCCAAGGCTTCTTGATCCCACAGGCAACAGGAAGTGATCTCTCACTGAGTGTGGCTTGGGCATGTATGAGAGCTTCAAAGCCCGTCCCCACAGTGACACACTTCCTCCAACAAGGCCACACTTCCCATTATCGTCACTTCCTTTGGGGGCCATTTTCCTTCAAACCACCACAGTATGTATGTGTGTATGTGTGTATGTATGTATGTATGTATGTATGTATTTACCTATCTATCTACCCATCCATCCATCTATCTATCTATCTATCTATCTATCTATCTATCTATCTATCTATCTATCTATCATCTATCTATATATATTATCTCTGAGTGGGCTACACCTCATTAAAAATTTCATGATAATGTGTAGCAGGAATCTTAAAAGTTCTTATTAATAAAATCAAACCTGAGGCGAGTTATTGGGGTCCATGCTGGTAGATCAGAGAGACAGAACAAGCCACAGCTATCTCACCTCGTGGGATCCTCAGCTGGTCTTGTCTCCTCAGACTGGAGGCCTCTGAGTCCTCATCCGGAATGGGTCTCAGCTGAATTACTGCTCAAAAGCCTGAAGCTTAACCAGGCCAAATGCTTAACCAGCCAAAAACTTCTAGTTTCTGGTCCTCACGCCTTATATATCTTTCTGCTTTCTACCACCACTCCCTGGGATTAAAGGCTGGCTTTCTGGGATTAAAGGTGTGTGTCACCATGCTTGGATATTTCCAATGTGGCCTTGAACTCACAGAGATCCAGAGGGATTTCTATCTCTGGAATGCTAGGATTAAAGGTGTGAGTGCCACCATTTTCTAGCCTTTGTATTTAGTGGCTGTCTGTTCTCTGACCCCAGATAAATTTATTAGAGTACACAATATTTTGGGGAACACAATACCATCATAATAATGTGTTGCAATAGCGTCTTTAATTCTGGGTGCTTTTAAGAATAATATTGGTGATGACATTATTGTAGTTACAATTAGTGCATAATTAATTAACCTCAAACCATCAGCTTATGTCTGTCCTTTCATTTTGTTCCCAGCTTTATGGTTGAGAATTCACGCAGGGCTCCGTAGGCTGGTCTCTCTTAGGACCTTTCATATAGATGTAGTCAAACAGTATCTGGGGCTTCTGCCCCAGATGAGGCATGCACTGGGAACTCAGAGCTGCTACTGATGGCCTGTT